TAAAGTCTCCCTCAACTTGAACTCCACTCCTACAGACTTTATAGACTACAAGCCATGCAGTTTTCTTGACAACAATACGAAGCAGTTTGTCATTCTGCCAGTGCTAAATAGCTTGTCACGCAGAAACGCTTTCAAATGTGTGTCAGATCACAGTATGAAAATATACATGTTGCATACTTCAGTGCCCAGTTCAAATATGTCCCAACACACACACACACAAACACACCGCCTCCTGTAGTGGCCACAAGTGCGCCAACTGTTGCACACCATCCCAGAGATGCTTCGGGACCTCTGGCTTTGCACACTCGCAGGGCATGGGGGCAGGGGAGTGGTTTCCCCCTCCCCATCCTTTGACCCACCTGCTATTAAGCAGGGCGAGGAGCTCCCCAGCGTGGTACAGATCATTCTTGGTCACCCGGCTGAAGCGAAACTCGTTGAGGTTGCAGAAGGTGATGGCTGGGAAGGTCATGTGGCTGGCAGCCACCTCGTCCAGCTTGGTGACGTGAGGGTAGCGAAAGTAGTACTGGATCCTCTCATTGCAGACGAAGACCAGCACAGCCAAGGAGCCCAGGAAACACAGGGTCCAGAAGATGCGCTTGACTGACAGGCGCTCGTAGGAGAAGATGTGGGACAGGCCATGCAGCGTGGAGCTGCTGGCGAATGTCTCGATGCTGACCGGGTGCCCGTTCTCCACCTCCTCCTCGTCCACCTTCAGGTCCATCATGGTCCGAGCCGGAGCAGGGTGAAGAGGGGGGGATGGACGGGGGAGGAAGCCGCACTAGATGGAAAGGAGACAAGTGCTCAGGATACGTCTCTGGCCAGCCTGGCCATTACCCCCAATTGGGAAAGACCTCAACCCAGCGCCCTTTCCCTTCCCCAGCTCTTGCCTGGAGGAGATTTGCTCCCAGGCGGTCTCCTCTCCTCCCTGCCCTCTTCCAGCCAGGCTCCATCCTCCGCTGCACTTTTAACCCGGGCCGGAGGGATCCTCCCCCTTCTTCTTCTCACCCACCCACCCCCAACACACCCAGCAAGCCAAACCTGAAAGCAAGGCCAGCGGCGGCGGCGGCCGGCCGTCAGTGTTCAACGGCGGCGGCGGCGACGGCGGCGGCCGCGGCAACGGTTCGCCGGCTCAGCGGTTTGGGTTTGCCGGGGAAGACAGACGCGTAGACGCGGCTGGAGAAGCGAGCGGGAAGCCGGGCAGGCTGAGGCGGCACCTGCCGCTTGAGGGCGGGGGATGGCGGCGGGAATCCTTTGCCTCCCGCCGCCGCCGCCGCTGCTGCTTCTGGCCTCGCCTTCGCGCTCGGGAATCCAAGAGAAGCGACGATCGCCGGAAAGCAGCCGACGGAGAGGCTCAGCGACCAGCGGCGGCTGCTGCGGCGGCGGCGGCTGCCTCTCCCCCAAACACATGGAGGCTCCCCGGTGGCGTGGCGAGAGAGGCCGTTGCTTTGGGGCGGGGAGGGGGGGTGAGCGCGGGAGACGATCGCGCCTGGCGGCAAGGCAGCAGGATCTGCGGGGAGTCACTGCGTCCGAGGCGAGGGCGGCAGGGCCCGGCTGCGCTACCCCGGAGTCTTGCGAGAGAGCGCCGGGTGGCGGTGGCGGCGGCGGCGCATGTGTGTGTATGTGTGTCCCTGTGTGTGCGCGCACGGCTGTGCGGGAGGAGGAGGAGGAGGAAGAGGAGGAGGAGGAGGAGAGCGGCTCGGAGGTGCCGGGCTGAGATTGCAGGGCGGCTTGTGCGCATCGGCGGCGACAGCGAGGCTGCGTGAGTGTGTGCGGCGCGCGTGTTGTTAGAGGTTCCCCTCACTCTTTCACATCAATCAACGTTTCCTCCCCCCCCCCCTAATTAAAGGCAAAGTTCCTTCTCGCCTTCCCCCCCACACACACTTCGCCAACAAAAAAAAATCAAAAGCCAAATCCGCACCGTCGGGAAACGAGCAAAGCCCAGTCCGCACTTAAACATGTCCAGCAGGTATCCTGAAATGGCATTTGCAAGTGGCGAGATGCAGGGCTAAGAAATAACTATGGTTGTGTTGTAAAAGTCTGTCCGTGTTCATTTTAAGGGCAGGGGGTTACTGTGGAACTAAGGCCAGCTCTGGTTTTCCTAATCAGGACTTCTTCCAGATTTAATATACTCAGTACAAAACGGTCTTGTTGTTACACCTACAGCAGTTGCTTTACACTGAAAGTATACAATAGGTAAGTCTATAGTGTGAGAAGGTTCTCTCAAGTTTTCACTCAGGATTTGGTTCATCAAGCGCTCTTTATATTTGTCCTGGCTCAGTCGGGTGGGGGAAAAATATTGTTTGCTCTAGCACTAGTAACACCTTTTAAGTGAGGTCTAGTCATACAGTCAGTTGCAAATGAAATCCAGAAAAGTGCCTCTCAAATCTCCATCTGTATTAACAGCAGATCTTCCCAGAAAAACTAAAATAGACAGACCCAAAAAATACCCTTCACTGAGAAGAAATTCAGCTTGCAACCAGCAAAGAAGCAATATTAATTGGGCCAATGAGGGGATTTCATTCTATGACTGCATTCTCTCTCTCTTTCTCTGTGTGTGTGTGTTTGTGTGTGTGTGTGTTAGCAGCGCCAACATCTCTTTCCACTTCTTTCTTTTACTCAGACATGAAAATCAGCCCTTGATCAGCAACCCATTTCTTGATACACTGTGTATTACTAGCACTTGTAAAGGATTCCTCTCCCCTGACGTGCCAACAGACTTCTAAAAATGGAGCAGCTAGTCCCTGTTGAATTCTCTGTCTAGTAGTGAAAAATGCTGTTTTGTCGCTTCAGGTAGCTGGTGAAGACAGCTTTACTGCCGGGGAAGGAGAGCTCCCCCACAGGAGGTGACTGTGTCCTTTGCTATAGAAGAGATATGCAGCAAGAGTCAGCAATTTAGTGGAAGGAAAACACGGCTCAAGAGCCTTGAGAGCACTTGATTAACTGCACCTTCTTCCCTGCTACTCAGCCAGAGCTGTCATTAATGTGACCATACCAATAGGCTTGGTCTTGGCCCAGTGAAATCAAACGCTTTAAAGAAACAAGGGGGCTGGAGACAAAATCGGGATCAAGAGCACAGAGCCTGTGAAAGAAACACACAGATAAGTTCCACTTAGGCATTTCAGTAGGTGGGAAGAAGAATCGTGTTGCCTCGTTGCACAGCCACATCTGAAAAAGGCACAAACGCATGTGGGCACAAACACTTTGGTTTCTTCTTGGTGCAGAGCTGAAGGCATGCATGGCACGAAGAATGTAAACAGCACCAGATTTTTTTGCACTTGCATTGAAAACCTGGACTACAATTTTGCAATTCCTTCTTTTGTTTGGTAAAAACAGCTGTCTCCATTAAGTAGACAACAAATGTGTTCAGACTGGATTGAGAGGAGAACATCTGGGCCTGCTGTGCTGGGCAGCCGTTGTGCTGTAAGTTACAAAGCTGTGCACCAATTTTGGCTGCCTTCAACCCCCCCCCCCTTGTGAGCCCAGAGAGGCAATTGAACGTGCACCCCATCTTCCTGGTGCTTTGGCAGAATTAACCAATTCTGGAAGGTTAGCTTATGACCTGTCACATCTGTTGCGGTTGGAGCCTGATGTGCAATTTAAGAATCAAATAAATACCATGATTTATTTATTTAGTATTCATTATCTATTTATTTATTATCTATTAATATTTATAAGCCTTCCAATAACAAACGGTACTCTGGACAGCTTGTAATAACAGCCAAAGGATAAAATGCAACTATTAACAAGAAAGATTATAAAGGGTTATAAAATGTCCAGAAATATTCAACTAGTGAAACAAAACCAAGCCACTTAAGCTGTTCTAAGAGATGAGTCATAGGTTTGGATTTCCAATAAAAGGTTTGAAAGGCCTGGTCAGATGACAATTTTCTTACCCTGAAAAGCGTATACCCTAAAAAAAGTGTTCATATGCAGAATTCCTCCTTCAAAAGGCCTTTTCATAAAGAATGTCTGGCTCATGGGATGTCACTGAACCAAAATTTTGAGTAACACAGTTGGCATCCTAGAAGTTGAATGTAAGCATCATTTAGAGAACCTTAAGTTTCTTGTCTTAAGATCCAGGTCTTAGTAGGAGCTAGCTCTGCAGGTGTCAGCACCAAGCCAAGCTGGGCAGTTCTGGAAATCAAAATTGGCCTTGATCTGTTCTTGAATCACTTAGAACTGCCCCCAAACTTTTGGGACCAGGGACTGGTTCCATGGAGAAACTGTTTTTCTGTCCTGTGGATGCGGCTCTGCTTGCTTGTGTGGCCCGGTTGCTGGCATGCTGCGGCCCGGTGGCCATCCATGGACCAGGGGTTGGGGATCCCTGACGTAGAATCCCTGGACCATTGGCAGGACTGGGAAGCCAAACATTGTTCCAGAAGAAGGTAATGGTCTTTATTTCTGTAATACCATGAAGAAAACTACATGGGTGCATTCATCCAAATCACGTTGGCTTCAAATGAGCGTTTATCTTTCAATAATACGCACAATCTAGCAAGCCAGCATTTAGGTAATCAGGTTTTTCATTTGATGATGGCTTTTTGGTACCCAGATAAAGAAATGGGATTTTGCACCTTGGGCCTGCCTCAGTTTTTGGCTGTCCCTCTCGCTTCCTCTAACCATTTAAGCCTACTTCCATTTGAAAAATAATGCAGAGCTGAACCAAGGAATTTGAGATTGAATCGAGTTTTTTGGCCAAAGAAAACAAGCTTCCCAGTGCCCAGCTCTCCACTAATCTAAGTTTAGATTAGTCTAAACCTAGATTAGGTTTAGACTAATCCTAATCACTAGGTTGCTTTCTGCACTGGTCAAAGATTCTTCTGATTATCCATCAATTCAGATAACCTCAGGATTGACAGTCACTCAAAAGTGGGAGTATATTGAGAGAAGTAGCTGCTGCTTATCTCGGGGGACGTAGGCTATAATGAATTTATTTGGGAAAGCAATCTTCCATTCTTTTATGAATATCATTCTGTTCCTTGCAGATAATCAATGGAGCCAAGAAAATGAATTGGGAACTGGGGAGAATGGTTGCTAAGGGCTCCCTTGTGAACACAGCAGAGAGGCGTCTGATGGTCCACTGTGAGATTAGATTGGGTGGAAGGCAAAGTTACTCTACGGAAAAGTCCAGTCCCCCCGCAAAACATCCAGCCTCATAGCTTTGAATTGCAAAGCTATATACCTATATATTCTCCCATATTCTGTTTCTGAATCTGAAGGTGCTCAAATTTAGATAATTGCTTACGTTTTCTACAGTGGTGGGTTCCTACTGGTTTGGACCGATTCGGCTGAACTGGTAGTGGCTTGGCGGCCTGGGTTGCTGGAACTGGCAGCGACCCAAGCCTGCCATGCCCCAAATTCTCCTGGCGGCACCTATGGCACCACCATTTTGTTTTTGGCTTCTGTGCATGCTGAGAACTATTTTATTGTATTGCGCATGTGTGTACAGCGTGCGCTGTGCACCCACGAGCAAACCAGCAGTAGTGACTGCCAGAATCCACCTCTGGTTTCCTCCAGTCTTTTACCAGAACTGAGGAGGCCAATGGTGAGGTTTAAACTTGAGGACATTTGTTCTACAATACTAGTAATGTGAACAGGTGCTGCCAAGCCCTTCTCCATCCCTTCCCCTCTGTATGTATGGATCCACACATGCTAAGTTATTGTTTTAAACATGATTTATTGAACATGCCACAGTAGTCTGAAGTCATGCTAAACTACAGAATATAAATTGCAATCCACAGAGAGCCTGGATTCACACATAATTGTTAAGGCAAAGGTGTTTTTTTAAAAAAAGGCCCATCATGATCTGTGGCGTGTGAACCTTGCCAGAGTAAAGAAAAATATAGAAGGGGGGAGGGACAAAATAGAGTTAAATTATGTTTAATAATGCACAATAGCTCCTCTCTTGCCATCTCTCTCCCAAGTTAGAAGTGAGATTTAATTCTGAATCTTAATTGCTTTCCTCGGAGGCTAGTAACAGAGTTTGGAAGTCATCCCATAAGGCACTTCGTATATGCTTAACAACATTAAGGCCCTTCTCAGATTTTCATATCTGTGGGTGCTGGATTCCTGCTCCCAAATAGACAACATGTGTGGAAGTCCCATTTGGCATGTGAATTAGCATCCACAGATCTAGGGCAAACTTCGTCACCTACAACACATGTAATCCGCAGTAGCCACAGATCCAGAATTTTTCCAAATTAATTCTTGTTCCCCAACTTGATTCCACCAGAACAGGGGTGTCAAACTCGCGGCCTGCTGGCCATGCTGACCCTGGTTNTATGTCCCAACACACACACACAAAAAAACACCGCCTCCTGTAGTGGCCACAAGTGCGCCAACTGTTGCACACCATCCCAGAGATGCTTCGGGACCTCTGGCTTTGCACACTCGCAGGGCATGGGGGCAGGGGAGTGGTTTCCCCCTCCCCATCCTTTGACCCACCTGCTATTAAGCAGGGCGAGGAGCTCCCCAGCGTGGTACAGATCATTCTTGGTCACCCGGCTGAAGCGAAACTCGTTGAGGTTGCAGAAGGTGATGGCTGGGAAGGTCATGTGGCTGGCAGCCACCTCGTCCAGCTTGGTGACGTGAGGGTAGCGAAAGTAGTACTGGATCCTCTCATTGCAGACGAAGACCAGCACAGCCAAGGAGCCCAGGAAACACAGGGTCCAGAAGATGCGCTTGACTGACAGGCGCTCGTAGGAGAAGATGTGGGACAGGCCATGCAGCGTGGAGCTGCTGGCGAATGTCTCGATGCTGACCGGGTGCCCGTTCTCCACCTCCTCCTCGTCCACCTTCAGGTCCATCATGGTCCGAGCCGGAGCAGGGTGAAGAGGGGGGGATGGACGGGGGAGGAAGCCGCACTAGATGGAAAGGAGACAAGTGCTCAGGATACGTCTCTGGCCAGCCTGGCCATTACCCCCAATTGGGAAAGACCTCAACCCAGCGCCCTTTCCCTTCCCCAGCTCTTGCCTGGAGGAGATTTGCTCCCAGGCGGTCTCCTCTCCTCCCTGCCCTCTTCCAGCCAGGCTCCATCCTCCGCTGCACTTTTAACCCGGGCCGGAGGGATCCTCCCCCTTCTTCTTCTCACCCACCCACCCCCAACACACCCAGCAAGCCAAACCTGAAAGCAAGGCCAGCGGCGGCGGCGGCCGGCCGTCAGTGTTCAACGGCGGCGGCGGCGACGGCGGCGGCCGCGGCAACGGTTCGCCGGCTCAGCGGTTTGGGTTTGCCGGGGAAGACAGACGCGTAGACGCGGCTGGAGAAGCGAGCGGGAAGCCGGGCAGGCTGAGGCGGCACCTGCCGCTTGAGGGCGGGGGATGGCGGCGGGAATCCTTTGCCTCCCGCCGCCGCCGCCGCTGCTGCTTCTGGCCTCGCCTTCGCGCTCGGGAATCCAAGAGAAGCGACGATCGCCGGAAAGCAGCCGACGGAGAGGCTCAGCGACCAGCGGCGGCTGCTGCGGCGGCGGCGGCTGCCTCTCCCCCAAACACATGGAGGCTCCCCGGTGGCGTGGCGAGAGAGGCCGTTGCTTTGGGGCGGGGAGGGGGGGTGAGCGCGGGAGACGATCGCGCCTGGCGGCAAGGCAGCAGGATCTGCGGGGAGTCACTGCGTCCGAGGCGAGGGCGGCAGGGCCCGGCTGCGCTACCCCGGAGTCTTGCGAGAGAGCGCCGGGTGGCGGTGGCGGCGGCGGCGCATGTGTGTGTATGTGTGTCCCTGTGTGTGCGCGCACGGCTGTGCGGGAGGAGGAGGAGGAGGAAGAGGAGGAGGAGGAGGAGAGCGGCTCGGAGGTGCCGGGCTGAGATTGCAGGGCGGCTTGTGCGCATCGGCGGCGACAGCGAGGCTGCGTGAGTGTGTGCGGCGCGCGTGTTGTTAGAGGTTCCCCTCACTCTTTCACATCAATCAACGTTTCCTCCCCCCCCCCCTAATTAAAGGCAAAGTTCCTTCTCGCCTTCCCCCCCACACACACTTCGCCAACAAAAAAAAATCAAAAGCCAAATCCGCACCGTCGGGAAACGAGCAAAGCCCAGTCCGCACTTAAACATGTCCAGCAGGTATCCTGAAATGGCATTTGCAAGTGGCGAGATGCAGGGCTAAGAAATAACTATGGTTGTGTTGTAAAAGTCTGTCCGTGTTCATTTTAAGGGCAGGGGGTTACTGTGGAACTAAGGCCAGCTCTGGTTTTCCTAATCAGGACTTCTTCCAGATTTAATATACTCAGTACAAAACGGTCTTGTTGTTACACCTACAGCAGTTGCTTTACACTGAAAGTATACAATAGGTAAGTCTATAGTGTGAGAAGGTTCTCTCAAGTTTTCACTCAGGATTTGGTTCATCAAGCGCTCTTTATATTTGTCCTGGCTCAGTCGGGTGGGGGAAAAATATTGTTTGCTCTAGCACTAGTAACACCTTTTAAGTGAGGTCTAGTCATACAGTCAGTTGCAAATGAAATCCAGAAAAGTGCCTCTCAAATCTCCATCTGTATTAACAGCAGATCTTCCCAGAAAAACTAAAATAGACAGACCCAAAAAATACCCTTCACTGAGAAGAAATTCAGCTTGCAACCAGCAAAGAAGCAATATTAATTGGGCCAATGAGGGGATTTCATTCTATGACTGCATTCTCTCTCTCTTTCTCTGTGTGTGTGTGTTTGTGTGTGTGTGTGTTAGCAGCGCCAACATCTCTTTCCACTTCTTTCTTTTACTCAGACATGAAAATCAGCCCTTGATCAGCAACCCATTTCTTGATACACTGTGTATTACTAGCACTTGTAAAGGATTCCTCTCCCCTGACGTGCCAACAGACTTCTAAAAATGGAGCAGCTAGTCCCTGTTGAATTCTCTGTCTAGTAGTGAAAAATGCTGTTTTGTCGCTTCAGGTAGCTGGTGAAGACAGCTTTACTGCCGGGGAAGGAGAGCTCCCCCACAGGAGGTGACTGTGTCCTTTGCTATAGAAGAGATATGCAGCAAGAGTCAGCAATTTAGTGGAAGGAAAACACGGCTCAAGAGCCTTGAGAGCACTTGATTAACTGCACCTTCTTCCCTGCTACTCAGCCAGAGCTGTCATTAATGTGACCATACCAATAGGCTTGGTCTTGGCCCAGTGAAATCAAACGCTTTAAAGAAACAAGGGGGCTGGAGACAAAATCGGGATCAAGAGCACAGAGCCTGTGAAAGAAACACACAGATAAGTTCCACTTAGGCATTTCAGTAGGTGGGAAGAAGAATCGTGTTGCCTCGTTGCACAGCCACATCTGAAAAAGGCACAAACGCATGTGGGCACAAACACTTTGGTTTCTTCTTGGTGCAGAGCTGAAGGCATGCATGGCACGAAGAATGTAAACAGCACCAGATTTTTTTGCACTTGCATTGAAAACCTGGACTACAATTTTGCAATTCCTTCTTTTGTTTGGTAAAAACAGCTGTCTCCATTAAGTAGACAACAAATGTGTTCAGACTGGATTGAGAGGAGAACATCTGGGCCTGCTGTGCTGGGCAGCCGTTGTGCTGTAAGTTACAAAGCTGTGCACCAATTTTGGCTGCCTTCAACCCCCCCCCCCTTGTGAGCCCAGAGAGGCAATTGAACGTGCACCCCATCTTCCTGGTGCTTTGGCAGAATTAACCAATTCTGGAAGGTTAGCTTATGACCTGTCACATCTGTTGCGGTTGGAGCCTGATGTGCAATTTAAGAATCAAATAAATACCATGATTTATTTATTTAGTATTCATTATCTATTTATTTATTATCTATTAATATTTATAAGCCTTCCAATAACAAACGGTACTCTGGACAGCTTGTAATAACAGCCAAAGGATAAAATGCAACTATTAACAAGAAAGATTATAAAGGGTTATAAAATGTCCAGAAATATTCAACTAGTGAAACAAAACCAAGCCACTTAAGCTGTTCTAAGAGATGAGTCATAGGTTTGGATTTCCAATAAAAGGTTTGAAAGGCCTGGTCAGATGACAATTTTCTTACCCTGAAAAGCGTATACCCTAAAAAAAGTGTTCATATGCAGAATTCCTCCTTCAAAAGGCCTTTTCATAAAGAATGTCTGGCTCATGGGATGTCACTGAACCAAAATTTTGAGTAACACAGTTGGCATCCTAGAAGTTGAATGTAAGCATCATTTAGAGAACCTTAAGTTTCTTGTCTTAAGATCCAGGTCTTAGTAGGAGCTAGCTCTGCAGGTGTCAGCACCAAGCCAAGCTGGGCAGTTCTGGAAATCAAAATTGGCCTTGATCTGTTCTTGAATCACTTAGAACTGCCCCCAAACTTTTGGGACCAGGGACTGGTTCCATGGAGAAACTGTTTTTCTGTCCTGTGGATGCGGCTCTGCTTGCTTGTGTGGCCCGGTTGCTGGCATGCTGCGGCCCGGTGGCCATCCATGGACCAGGGGTTGGGGATCCCTGACGTAGAATCCCTGGACCATTGGCAGGACTGGGAAGCCAAACATTGTTCCAGAAGAAGGTAATGGTCTTTATTTCTGTAATACCATGAAGAAAACTACATGGGTGCATTCATCCAAATCACGTTGGCTTCAAATGAGCGTTTATCTTTCAATAATACGCACAATCTAGCAAGCCAGCATTTAGGTAATCAGGTTTTTCATTTGATGATGGCTTTTTGGTACCCAGATAAAGAAATGGGATTTTGCACCTTGGGCCTGCCTCAGTTTTTGGCTGTCCCTCTCGCTTCCTCTAACCATTTAAGCCTACTTCCATTTGAAAAATAATGCAGAGCTGAACCAAGGAATTTGAGATTGAATCGAGTTTTTTGGCCAAAGAAAACAAGCTTCCCAGTGCCCAGCTCTCCACTAATCTAAGTTTAGATTAGTCTAAACCTAGATTAGGTTTAGACTAATCCTAATCACTAGGTTGCTTTCTGCACTGGTCAAAGATTCTTCTGATTATCCATCAATTCAGATAACCTCAGGATTGACAGTCACTCAAAAGTGGGAGTATATTGAGAGAAGTAGCTGCTGCTTATCTCGGGGGACGTAGGCTATAATGAATTTATTTGGGAAAGCAATCTTCCATTCTTTTATGAATATCATTCTGTTCCTTGCAGATAATCAATGGAGCCAAGAAAATGAATTGGGAACTGGGGAGAATGGTTGCTAAGGGCTCCCTTGTGAACACAGCAGAGAGGCGTCTGATGGTCCACTGTGAGATTAGATTGGGTGGAAGGCAAAGTTACTCTACGGAAAAGTCCAGTCCCCCCGCAAAACATCCAGCCTCATAGCTTTGAATTGCAAAGCTATATACCTATATATTCTCCCATATTCTGTTTCTGAATCTGAAGGTGCTCAAATTTAGATAATTGCTTACGTTTTCTACAGTGGTGGGTTCCTACTGGTTTGGACCGATTCGGCTGAACTGGTAGTGGCTTGGCGGCCTGGGTTGCTGGAACTGGCAGCGACCCAAGCCTGCCATGCCCCAAATTCTCCTGGCGGCACCTATGGCACCACCATTTTGTTTTTGGCTTCTGTGCATGCTGAGAACTATTTTATTGTATTGCGCATGTGTGTACAGCGTGCGCTGTGCACCCACGAGCAAACCAGCAGTAGTGACTGCCAGAATCCACCTCTGGTTTCCTCCAGTCTTTTACCAGAACTGAGGAGGCCAATGGTGAGGTTTAAACTTGAGGACATTTGTTCTACAATACTAGTAATGTGAACAGGTGCTGCCAAGCCCTTCTCCATCCCTTCCCCTCTGTATGTATGGATCCACACATGCTAAGTTATTGTTTTAAACATGATTTATTGAACATGCCACAGTAGTCTGAAGTCATGCTAAACTACAGAATATAAATTGCAATCCACAGAGAGCCTGGATTCACACATAATTGTTAAGGCAAAGGTGTTTTTTTAAAAAAAGGCCCATCATGATCTGTGGCGTGTGAACCTTGCCAGAGTAAAGAAAAATATAGAAGGGGGGAGGGACAAAATAGAGTTAAATTATGTTTAATAATGCACAATAGCTCCTCTCTTGCCATCTCTCTCCCAAGTTAGAAGTGAGATTTAATTCTGAATCTTAATTGCTTTCCTCGGAGGCTAGTAACAGAGTTTGGAAGTCATCCCATAAGGCACTTCGTATATGCTTAACAACATTAAGGCCCTTCTCAGATTTTC